TCCTCCAGCAGCTTCCCTCTTCCCTCCACCTTCCAAAGGAACTCTTACTAAGAGCATTGCTGAAAATAGCAACTATACCTTAAGAGCTACAAGAACATGATCACGCTTGAATATGGAAACTGTTTCATTGAAGTTTCCTGGACATTTAAAAAGCTCAGCAGGGAAAGTTATTTTGTCACGATGAAAGCTGACTTACATTTCAGGGAACTTCTGGAGTTGGATGCTGGGCCTGTTTTCTTCCATACGAGTGGTGAGTTTTCTTACCTGAGAGTCCAGACAGATGCCTAACTCACATTTGGCCAGAAACAACTAAACAGGAGGACACTAATTCAAAAGTAGTTACTTCAGGATTAAGGTAGCAAGAAGGACTAGGAGGGAATACTTTAGAAAAAGTTTTTAATAAGTCGAGGTGACTACGAAGAGACCTCAATTTCTTTCAGCTTTAGTCTAATCTGGAGATGATTTCAGATGGCTAAGACAAAAGACGCAGACATCTGAGACTCTCTCTTCTTCTGCCTACTCTCTAACTAGCCAGACCACTACAAAAAATCCTGAGGGTGCTTTAGGATAGTTGCACAACAAGATATGCACAGCTTATGACAAAAGAATAGATGAGCATGTATTAAACAGTGTTAGTTAAATGTAGCCAAGAACACAATTTATATCTGTTTGTGAAAACTGCAGGTCTGGAGGTTTTAATTTGTGCTCCAAAATAAAATCAGTGTAACTTGAACTTTGTTTCAATGGCAATCTGTCAACATTCAGCAACACTTCAGCTGTATTTGGGGCCAGCAGTTAGTACATTCTGCGTCTCAGAGAATGCTTCAAGAGCTAAACAGTACAGAATGGTCATTATGAACCGGGTAAAAGACTTCCACAAGGAAACCAAGTGGCTAGCAACAGCTCTAGGAAAACAACAACCCATGACACCCAAGGAGAAATGAGCACTCGAGAGGGGGTTTACAGCTCTGACAAGAAACCTTTTTAACGAGGCTTGCACGTTGAACACACGTCTTATCCACATGAAATACCCAAGAAAAGCACCGATCTAGTTCAGCTGATTACACGTGACACGCAAGTTTATTAAACTCATTTAATCATGCAACCACACTAGCACAACAGTGACATCAGATGACAAACCTGGTTTTCTTCTTGCAAAACTCTATATTGCTCCTTCCAAATGGTTATTTTTGAAGCTTCATCTTTCCTCAGAGCTCTCTCCTTTTTTAGCTCAGGACTCCAGAAGGTCTTGATGCTGTTCATGGAAGAACTCAGCTTGCTTTCTTTCACCTCCACATCCTTGCGAAGTAGATCGTTTTCCCTCAATACCTCTTTGAGTTGTGTCTGCAGATCCATTATCGTGTTATCCCTGGCCTGGCGCAGCGAGTGAGGCACAGTGGATGCCATACTCACCGGAGGGAGATGATGCTCTCCAAACGCAATAGTATCACTGGCAACTCCACTACTGGCAATGTTAGGGCTGCTGCCCATGGCAGTCATCCTCACGCCGTAAGGCAGCCGCCCCCCGGACCGGCCCAAAGTCATGGTGCTCTTCGGGGTGTCTGCACCTACGTTCTCATGGTCACTTAGGTACATAGGGCCAGACGTAGCATAGGCAGCATTTAAGGACTGAATGTTTTCCATAGAAAGGGTTTTCCCACTGCCACCCCCAGTACTACTCCCAGAGCTGCCCCCTGTACTGTTGGTTCGTCGATGGCCCAAGCGTGGCGAGCGTGGCAGCCTTGGTGAACGCCCTGGACTCTGGTTGCTTGGCTCGACCTTACCCACTGACCGAGCACTTCCGTACATGATTAAGCTGGTGGTGTGAGGCAATCAGATAGGCAAAAATCAGGAATGAGAGAAATCCTGTTAAGTTCTTCAAGGGTTATAAGTCAACTTAAGGCCAACCACAACTTGTAACAGATCCAGTTGTCCATCTTTGAAGTCACGTGCCCACGATGTTCAGGACCATATCTGTATCAATAAAAATAACATAGTAAACACCTAGTTTATCACCAAATATTTTGTTCCACATCAAAGTGTATTCTACTACCTTTGTATTTCTCTAGTATATTTTCAAGTCCGATCCACACAAAAGCAAACTTTAATTTAAACCCTAAGAGTAAAACTCAAAAAGGAACTTCTATTCTAGTTTGGCTGCTGCCATATTAACACAGTAAAGAGGGAAGGAAAACCCTTCTTTTGTTTTTCAAACAATGAATCAAAATTTAAAGCACATCCACTAGTACTTTTCTCCTTCAAACACCGCAAGCTTCCACAGGACACGGTTTCTAGACCCTTGTGCTGTGAAAACAATCCTGGAAATGGGACGGTAGAATGGCCTGACGTGATTCTGATCATGATCTCGACTATCAAGTCCTTCCTCACACACAGCAGTCAGAACCACAGCTAAGGATAACGATGAAATCATTACTCATTACAGAGCTTAAACAAGTATAGCTGCAGCTCTGAAAGAGCAGCAACCACACAGCAAAGGGACCAACAAAGTGAAGAGGAACAAGACAATCACACCTCCACTGAAAACTGGCTCCAGTCTCTTATTTTCTCTAGAACTAAATATAATTTAAATCTTTCTTCAGCTTAAGAAAAGATTTCAATTCAAATATACTTCTTATTAACCAGCCCAGACTAACTCTGTTAAATAATATTCCAACAGCAGGGACTTCTGAAAACACAGGACTGTATGACACCATCACGCTGCTGTTCCTTCTCCCCTCTATCTTTTCTTTAAACAGGAACTCTGGTAGCATATACAATCCAATCCCTAATTTCTGCACTGCAGTGTGATGCTGTCTCACCAGTGCTAGCAGGGGACTCTGATACAGGGGTGCTGGGCTAGGACTGCGCTTAGTGGCAGGGAAACAAGAAACAGGGAAGAATTCTACTTTCCACTCTTGTGGCTAAACTACTAGCCCTGCACAGCTATTCCCACGACACAGTTCTCTTCCTGCCCCTACGTTTTTCCAGTGTAAACTATTTCATGTTACTGTTGGGCTCAACTGAAATCAAAAGCAGAACACTGAAACACTCCCGATCCCATGAGATGGAAGAATACCAGGGCAGCAGCATCTCATACATCCCAACATCTTTCCTTTCACACCAGTTTTCATCTAGCTGCACCTTCTGTTCAGAGGTTAGGTTTGACAGATATTAGGAACCAATTTTTCCAAACCCTACAGCATGTTTGTCAGGTAATAACTGGTCAAGCAGATTAAAGGTTAGGTTTAAAAGAGGAATACACTTACAGAAGAAAATGTAGGAATAGCGCAAGCGGGTGGAGGGGAAGAGACAAAAAAAATATTGAAAAACACACGGGAAAAAGAGTAGAAATAAAATAGGAAAAGCCTGATGAAGGAAAGAAATAGCATTTTTCCTTTAGGAACAGTAAGTTAGTATGGAAAAAAGACGACAAAAAACAATTGTAAAATGTTTAGTTTAACCTTAAATTGAAAATGGAAAGGAGGATCAGAGTAAATCAGCACATTTCCCTTTTCACACCACTTCACAGAAGTCCAATGGCGTAATTCTACAGATTTTACAAATTTATGGAAGCTGATACTTTTGTGAGCACTTCTCAAGACTCTCTCTCTTTTCTCTAAAGACAAGTAAAGCTAGCAACAATATTGCTACAAGATATTCTAGAACACCTATGTAAAGGAACACAGGCCAAGGAAAACCAGCCAGCAGCATTAATCATTGAGATTATCGTCCAAAGCAACATCTACAGATTCATTTTTTAATACAACTTACATTTCTTCTCTTTCAACTACACATCCTTACAGAAAACAGTACACAAATATAAGACCATGAAACAAAGTCTACAGTGTTCCACTGGAGTTGCTTCAATAAGCAAGACACTGTGCCCCAGATCTCGAAGAAAAACACTTCTTCCAAACAGAAAAGCTATTTCAGACTAGTCTCACTGTTTGAGATATCAAAATGCTAAAAATGCTGCTGTGAGCTCTCAGAACAAGTCAGATATGATTTCTGAGACACTACACAAAGCACATTCGACTGAGAGCTTGCATTCATGAGGATTCACTTGAAAATTAATCCAAATCACAGCACTTAATTCATTTACTAAAGACTCACCACAGCAAATCAGTGCAAACACTCATTCACTTAGCAGTTTTCAATGCGTTTAACTTGAACCAAAAGATTAGACATGTCTTATTATATGTGTTTTGGTTAAAGCACTTCACCCCAAAACACTAAGTTAAAAGTTGCTATAAGTACATTACTGTGGAACACAGAAACATCACCTAATAAAGTCCTTCACAACACATAACAGGAACACAAAAGTTTTTAGATGATTTCTAATAAGTTCATCGCCCTCAAAATGGAAAACTCAGGGAATTGCTTTCTCCTTGCACTAGCAAACATTTTGTTACACTATTAATCCTTACCAAAGAATAACGTGGCTGATACCCTTGACATAAACCAGCTTCCCAAGCAGCTGGAAGGAGCTGGGACCATTTCCTAATCTACTGGGCAGGCAGGTGAGCTCTCATCCTTGCTAATTCAGCTCTCAGCTTTGTTTCACAGGCAGGCACCATCCCCTCTGCTACTCCAGGAAAAAACAAGAATTCAAGCTACGAAAGCCAACTGCCAGAATCAACTGTTGATCAGGGTCATGGGAAGGGTTCCTGGAGCTGGCACAGATGGAACTGAGGGAGAAGAACTCTACCATCACTGTCGTGCATGACACTGCACTCACTTTTCAAAAGCAAAACCAAACAAAAGCAGCAGGTGCAGAGGAGCAGTCGGTCTCTGGCAACAAGCAAACGTAATCCTCCACTACTTTTCCTAAAAGGTTCAATTTTCATTACACCCTTGTTAGAATTTAAAACTGTGAACATCCCAAGTATTAACTAAATACAGCCTTCCACATATGCAGTCAGTTTCAGCATTTCCACTCGCACAGAGATCTGCCAAGGTTCAAGAGGAAAAGAAAAGTGTTACAACATAAATCTTAACTCTTCTTTCCCCCCATTTTATTTCTAGTGGTGTTTATCACTGGCCATTCACTTTGTTGCTAATATCTGTTGAAGCAGATATTAAGATAATTTACACAAGGAAAAACATCTTTTGTCCTGGAAACAGCAAAGTGAAGGAAGAGACGAAAAAATCTTTTTTTATTTGCAATACTAATTAATCAGGAAGAAGAAAGAATTCTCATTTCCTTTCTGGAGTCCAAGCAAAAGTATATGGCAGATTTCTTTCCAGCAGTAATGTAACCACACAAGGTACAGTTTTTCAGTATTCTGACCCACACACCATTTCACTAAGCACCTCAGAGCTACGGTCTCTTATCTCCCACGAAGCCAACATGCAGCGCTCTTATTATTTTCCTCTACTACTGTGACTCTAAATTTAGTCACAAATAAATCATCCCTTAACCTTACAAGATGGTGGCAACCACAAGGAACACTGTCCAACTGTGACAGGAATGTACAAACCATCTTCCTTCTGCAAACTCTCCTGTAGGTTTCAAAAACTTCTGATTTTTTCTGCTAATACAAAACCATAGTATCATCAAGGTCAGAGGAGACCTCTGAGATCGAGTCCAGCCATTAGCTGCCACTCTGCTGTAATATAGGAACCATTAGCCAAGATTTCAAAACAAAAAAGGAGACTAAAAAACCCAAGTATTTAAATGAACAAACCAGCTGAAGCCAGTATTAAACCATTTTTGCTCAGAAGTAGCTTGTATATCCTTACAATTATGAAACAAAATTCTCTTGTTCACTGTCCATTAAGAGAACAAAAACTTCCCAAGAGCATCCAAAAAAATTCATGTCAGCCCAAGCAAAAAACTTCATGCATATATCTAGAAGTTGGCACAGCAGCTTTGCAAGCACCAAGACATACAATTGAGCTGCTTTAGTATTAGCTGAAAATGCTATCTAGAAATCAATAAAAAGCTTGACAGTAGGAGTACCAGAAACATCAAAAGAATAGGTGAGAATTAAACAATATTGTAGAAAAAGGCTGGAAAAAAGGACATTTATAAACACATTTTCTGTATGAAAATGCTAAGATAGCTCATGGCACATCCTGCCCGAAGTGCCAGCGCAGACACGTGTCTTCTCAGATCACAGGTGACCGTCCAAAACCACTTGGGGACAGACACCGTGAACTGTGGAAAAACTTCACACAGCAGATATTTAAATGTACTGCAGTGCAACCTGTGGCAACTCAAATCCACCTGTTTCATTACACCAGCCCAGCCACAGCCCGTGAAAAGCAGTGGAGTATCCAGCCTCCTTCCAACCAGCAAAGCAGCTGCAGCTGCAGCGAGGATCCCAAATCCAGACCCACCAATAATGCAAACCGTAATTCAAAGCAGCCCAGAAGCTGCTAACTCCTACATCAGGACCTGCTGTGCTCAAGGAACAGTAAAATGTCACCTGCAAAGCTCCATGCAGATTTACTTATAAAGCAATTCTGATGTGGAGAGGGCAGGAATAGGTACACCAGTCTTGTCAAAAGACCTAGTGGTTTTCAATACAACAGTTATATTCAGGCTCGGTAGAAATTTAAGAAATTCTGGAGGGAGGACATTAACATCAACCTCAGTATAAAGAGTCCAATAAAACGAGATGTGTTTATCAGTGCTGTCACACTCAGCCCCTGTATCTGGTATTTTATGTGAACCAATGGCTCAGAGAGCAGAAACTCCAGGCTACAGCTGACAGGAAACAGAAGATTCACTGACCAAGTC